CAGGCTCTTTAAATGGATCTGTGGCAGTAGCTACATAGCTTTGAAGAGTTCCAGGTCACCATTGGCAGTGCTTTGATCACTGTGTATCGTGGCCTGTCACTTTCCCATCCCAGAGTAGGAATGGGAATCTCACAGTCTGGGAACTGAACCTGCACAATGCATATTTCTCAAGGATCTGTAGTTCCCATACCGTTCTTTGGTACCAGACAAGATCTACTACCACAGTCAGGTTGTAGAACTGCTCCATCACCGCAAATACCTCACCAGTGCGTTACAGTTCTGTCTCCCCTAGTCCCGACTGTCTCTGAGCCCTGGTCTCTAGCTCTATAATTTTGGCATCTCAAGAATGTTATGTGACTACAGTCACAGAGTACGCAGTCTTTTTATTGCTGGGAAATGGCCTGTGGTGTGGATGTACCATAGTCTTTTCAACTGCTCACCTACTATAGGCCGTCCTGGTTGTTTCCAGGTTTTAGTAATGGATTAAAGCGTTATGAACCTTGATGCACAGGTTTTGCATGAACACTTCTGTTGTGCTGTGGCTGGGTTGTAAAGTAGTTGTTTAGGTTTTTTTTAAGAAAGTGCCCAACTCCCTTCCTGAATGGCTGTATCATCTCTCCCTGATAGTTAACGGTACTGAACACCTTTTCATAGCCTCATTTGCCATCCTTCCTCATAGCCTCTTCTTTTTTGGGGGGGGGTAATTAGGTTTATTTATTTACTTATAGAGGAGGGACTGGGGATTGAGCCCAGGACCTCGTGCCCGCTAAGCACGCACTCCACCCCTGAGCTGTTACCTCCCCCACTTTCATATCCTCCTTACTGAAATATATGCTCATGTCTTTGCCCTTCCACTTTGTTCCTTTTCAAAATTCTTTTCACTACTCAAGGGCCTGTGCCTTTCCATCATGTACACATCGTCCAGAGGTGCTTTTAGTGTACCCTCCAGGGCTCAGGCGAGTGGAACCACTTGTGTGTGAGGAATCACATCTCAGGTGCAGGCGAGTCAGTAGTGTCCCAGGGCCAGGTCTTCTGAGATGTTAAAGAGCGGTCGGAATCTCCTGATTGTCACTAAACAAAACAAGTGTGTAGCCAAAGTAAAACAGATCAGGGAGCCATTACTTTGTCCCTTCTGCTTTTTTGGCTACCATTAGAACTTGTTCCTTCATTTATTCTCCCTCTTGCTATAGTCACACGATCAGGAGCCTCTTCCCTTCGTTTCTGTTTTCCTTCCAACCCCCATCACGTGTGTGCGACGTAGTGTTGTCAGGGTGTGCACGTGTACTACTTGTCCTTTACCTGTAATTGTTCTGTGATTCGCTAGAGGCAAATTCTGAAAAGGGAAAACCATACTATAAATGGGTTTTACATTATTGTGACTGGCTGCCGACCCAGCAGCTTTATCCCGCTTCTCCTGGTCATGCTTGCACGTCTGCTCAGGAGACATGAACAGAAGTCTGCTGGGGAAGTTCTGGGCCACGTGGCCCTGGCCTGGCCCTTCTTTCTGCCTTGACAGTGGAGCTGAAGATTGGATTGGCAGCTTTTTGGGAGAGCTTTTCACCCCAAGCTTCATTTCTTTCTCTGTGTTGAGACTTCTGAGTCGAGAAACTCTTTGAAATCTCTCACCCCCAATGACTTCCTTTTTTGTGTGGGGGGCTGTCTATCTCCCTGCCCGCTTTGCTCTCATTTAAGCAGGGCCCAGAGTACGCGCAGGTTGTGAGCTGCCAACCTGAAGCCCCGCGCAGGCCCGCAGGTGCAGTGTTCACGGACTGACTGGCTCATCTACTGTAGAGTGCCTGCAAGTTCTGTGCCCCCTGGTGTCATAAGTCAGCTTTCTAAATACAGCCTTTTGTCACACAATTCAGCGCCATGTGACTTCTTTGCAGTTCTAGCTGCTAGCCAAGGCGGTTTCTCTTTCTCACCACTTCCCTCATCTGAAGATGCCTAGTAACCAACACAACTTCAAATGTAACCGTGTTATCAGGATGAAAGTCCATTAAAATTAAAGTGCTATTGTATATTCTTTTGTAAGGAGCACCCTTATCTTATGAGACATGTATCCATCCGCAGGCCTCTCCCATCCTTGCCTCTGATCTTCCAGTCCTTTTCTCTCTAGGCCCTTGGGTAGGCCACTGGGCGCTGCCCAGGAACAAGTGAATGAGTGAATGAATATAGATCTAGATAGATGGACACATAGACAGACAGAGATTTCTCCACAAGGTGCACCACTCATGCCCCACCCACCGGGAATGTCTTCCCTCCACTCTGTCTGTAAGGGGCACCCCTGGGGGTGGCTGTATTGCAGCTGCCATCCATTTTCAGCTTGTACTCAGATACCGAGTTTGGAGTAATCTCACCGATGATCACTCCTTCTCAGTCTCCTTTGCTTGGATTTGTTCCTCTTCCATACTGTTTTTGATTTACTGTTTTATCAGGAGTGGCCAGTGGGCACTTTGAGAAGTTTCTACGTGCCTTGTCTAAGTCCTGCGCTACTTCAGCAGCCATAGATGAGAAAGATGAGAAAGAACCAGCAAAGGAGACTGAGAAGGAGTGTTTCAAGGAGAAGAGAGTGGTCATCTGTGCGATTACTCCATTTGTTCTTCATACTGTTGATGGATTTGGGAGGTGCTCCAAGTTTGGGCTTTTCAGAGTAGTGTTGCTCTGAGAAGGGCACAACACCACTTCCATGGGATCCCCGCCAAAAAGTCATAACCTTAATCTAATCACAAGAAACCATCAGACAAACTCAAGTTGACCATGTATAAAACTATAGGCCTGGCCTCTTCAAAGATGACAAGGTCATGGAAGACAGAGAGAGCCTGAGGAACTTGTGCACACTGGTGGAGATTAGAGAGATGTGAAAACTGAGCATACTGCATGCTCCTTATTGGAGCCTGGACAAGGTACATGATGATTGGCACAGATGATGAAATTTGAGTATAAACTGAGGACCAGATGATGGTATCATAGTAATGCTCAATTTTCACTTTTGAGAGTGCTTTTCTTCTTAGAAACACATAGAAGTTGTCCTCAGATTATGCTCAAATGGTTCAACACTTACACTGTATAACAGTAAATCCCTTGGTGCACATGATTTCCGCAGTTCATGCTCTTACCTGCTGGGCATGAGGGTTCTAGTTACCCACTTCATGGACCTTTCCCCCTCTTTTTTTTAATATTTTATTTTCTTGCAGGGAAGTTATTAGATTTATTTATTTTTAGAGGCAGGACTGGGGATTGAACCCAGGACCTTGTGCAGACTAAGCATGTGCTCTACTGCCTGAGCTATTCCCTCCCCCATTTCAGGCTCTTAATGCCATTTCTCTACAGTGTTTCATTTGAAAGGTTTTAAACTCACTGAAAGATGAAAGACTTTTATAGTAACTTCCATTAACCATGCCTCCTATTTTCCACACTTAACATTTTGCTGTGTTTGCTTTAGCACCTATCTATCCCAAAACCATCTGTCTATTTACCTTTTTTTGCATTTCAAAATAAGTGGCAAACATGAGACTGCTTCACCTCTGAAGGCTTCAGCATGCATACCATTGGCTAGAGCTCAGTATTTCTTTACGGTTCTTTTTCCTAATTTTGTGGTTAAATTTACATACAGTGAAATGCACTAGGTGAGTTTGAACACTGCATGCACCCCTGAACCAAAACCCTTGTCACAGTATGGAACATTACCAGCGTCTCACCAGACGCAAGCAGTGGTTTACATTTTTTTACTGTACTTTTGCTTGTTCTAAAACATCAGAAATGGGACCATTGTAGTAGCTACTCTTTCGCATAGAGCTTCTTCCACGCAGCATCGCGCTCTTGAGGTCCATCCGCGTGGGAACTTGTACCGGCAGTTTGGTCCTTTTACTGCTGAGCGCTATTCCATTATGTGGATGTGTGACAGTTTATTTGCTCTCCTGTGAGCGGACACCTGGACACCTGTTTCTGCTTTCAGCTACCAAGAATGAAACTGGTATAAACATTCATGTATGAGCCTCTTTGTGGGCACGTGTTCTCTTTTCTCTCTAGGAGTGAGACTGGGCACGTGTGTGTTTAACGTTATATAAGAAATTGCCAAGCATTCCCACAGCAGTGGATGAGAGTTCCCAGCACCTGCCTTTTTCATTTTAGCCTTCCTCGCAGGGTGCCGTGGTATCCTGTGGTTTTAACTTGTGTTTCCCTACTTACAGTGATGTTGAGCATTTTGTCAGGTGCTTATTGGCTGTTCATGTCTTCATTAGTGAACAGTCTGTTCAAATCTTTGTCCAGCTTTTCATTACGTGTCATCCTGTTACTGAGTTCTAAGAGTTCGCTGGACGTTCTGGATACCAGTCTTTGTCAGATGGAAGAATCACAAACCTTTATTCTCAGGCTGGGCCATGCCTTTCTGGTTTCTTAAGTGTCTTTGGTGAGTAGCTTTCAGTTTGGATGAAATCAATTGTTCGCTTTGATGGTCATCACTCCTCTGTTTCCTGAGCCGGCGCCTCGCTCAGTGGCCTTTCTTGATGAACAGATGTTCTTACTTTGAAGTACTTATGCTTTCAGTTTTCATTTTATGGTTTGGATCCTTTATATCATGTATGAGACATTTCTGCCTACTCCAAGCTTACACTGTCTTAAAGTTTGGTCAGATCACTTTTCACCTTTGGGCTTTGTGTATAAAATGATGTGGAATCCACATTCATTTTCCCATATGGGATCGATCCAGCACCACTGATTACAAAGACCATCCTCCCATCAGCACTCCAGTGCCTGAAATTACATCCAATTTATGATAAAGACGTCTTTCCATCTCTTAGTGTCATTCATCTAGCTTTGCTGTCTTGGAGATCGGGGTAAAGGAGTCACATTGGGTGTGTCACATTGGGGCGGTGGGAGGGGTGGGAGGGGTGGTGGGTGAGTGAAACTGGCTACCACAGGAATAAGCATTGCTTTGCAGAGCCTTTGGGGGTTTCAAAGTGCTGCCCACTTCACACATCACTGTTGTTTTGACCCAATAGGCCGCATCGCCCCAGTTGAACGCTGTGACTGAGGACCCGTGCACCAATGGCTCTGCGGCCCCAGGGAGCCCAGCCCAGGCCAAGGGCCAGGAGGTGCGGAAGGTGCGACTCATACAGTTTGAGAAGTTCACGGAGGAGCCAATGGTAATCCTTGTCCTGTTTTCCTCACACACCGGGTGCCGCTAGGCCCAGCTCCTCCTCAGAGCAGCACCTCGGGTAGAGATGGAAAACATTTCTCCCAATAAATCACCTTAAAATAAAGCTGACCATGTCACTGCTTCATTTCAGGGCATCACCCTGAAGCTGAATGAGAGGCAGTCATGCACGGTGGCACGGATTCTGCACGGTGGCATGATTCACAGACAAGGTACTCAGCTGGGCTCCTCGGCCCTCGTTCAGCAATGAGCCGGTTACTCCCCGGGAGTGTGTTTGTGTCTGTGCCAAGAGATTTTGTTGTGGCATCATAACTGGCTCTTTAGAATAGTTGTGTCGTGACATCTTCGTGTGCTTGCCCAGTGGTGCCAGCTCTCCCTCTAATTAGTTAAGCCCCTTGCAATAGATCTAGAATACATAGCAGTGAAGAAAGCAGACCGTCTCTGCCTCCTGGGGCTAACAGTTAAACTGAGATAATACTTGTCAAATAAATGATGCCAAGTAGATGTTGTATCTCCTTGATGTGAAGCCGCCATCAGTTTTCAGAGACATCCTTTAGTGACAGCGCTTGTTTGGTGTCTAGGGTGGCACAGATGTTCATAACCATCATTCTCTTCACAGAGAATCTAAGCGCTGATTAACTTTACCACATGGTAGCATTTGGCGGTTTTAGGTAAACGGTCAAGTGCTTGCCTCGATACATCCCTGGAGGCAGTCTAAAGAACATTCGCATCTCTCAAGGTTGAATGTTTTCAATCCTCTGTGTCTGACACAGTCTGTGGCATCTCGTGTCTCATTGGCAGCTCTTGTTTGAACATCTGTTCTGCTGGGGACTGACTTTTCATTTTGTGCTAGGCTCCCTTCACGTCGGGGATGAGATCCTAGAAATCAATGGCACAAACGTGACTAATCACTCGGTAGATCAGCTGCAGAAGGCAATGGTGGGTATTCGCGATGCCATTATCTCCATGAAGTGTGGCCCCGCATCGGTGTCATGGGCCTCATTTTCGTCACAGGGTTTCTGCCTCATTGAAGGGACTCTTAACCACTGCTGGTCCTTGTTCTGGGCAAGAAATGACAGCTCTCTGTTTTCATTTAGCAAACTTTTGATACAAGGCAAATAACCTGCAGTGTTTATCTAGAAAGAACATCGGACTGGGTGGCAGACAGCCCCAGTCTTGAGTGGCAGCCCTGAATCCCTGCGCTCCTTTTATTCCACCCCCATGAATTAACTTCTCTAAGGCACCTGTAAGGGGGAAGATGAGAGTAATTGCTCTTCTCACGTCCTGGATCTACTATGAAGAGCGGATGGAAAAGTTGAATGTGCTCTTTAAATTCACTTGATCTTTGTCAAGCACCGTCTCCACCCCCACCCCCCGCCCCGAGCACACCAGAGACCACTCCTGTCACCACAGCATGACAAAACACCATGCAGTGCTTGGGGGTCATTGGTCACCACCAGTAGGAACCACACTTCAGGCACTCAACAACTTGGGGAAAAGTGTAATTTCAACCAGACTGTGGTTGTTCACTTGGGACAGAGATGAGGAACCTGTTTAAGGATAGACCTTGTGTCTGACCCAGATGAAGGAACAGGGACCAGATTTACCCTGCTTCTTGGAGCACCTCAAATCCTCAGTGTCCATTCACTTAATGAGTGGACAAATACTTGAAGTATTCAAAATACTCGAAGCAAAAACTAATAGAACTGGAAGGAGAAAAAGACAAATCCACAGTTATAATCTGAGATTTGATATCCCTCTTATCATAACTGACAAAACAATTAGCCAGAAAATCAGTGAGGGTCTAGAGGGTGCAACCAGCATTGTAAACCAAGTTGACCTAACAGACATGCCACATTCTCCAGGATAGACCATCAAATGAGCTTCAACATGTTTAAAGGACCCAAATCATACAAAAGTGTACTGTCCACCTACAATGAAATGAAATTAGAAACCAAAACCAGAAAGATGTCTGGAAATCTCTAAATATTTGGAAATTAGCACACTTCTAAATGACTCACAGGCCACAGAAGAAATCACAAAGAAAATTAGAAAATATCTTGAAGTGAATAGAAATGGAAACCAAGCCTGTCAAATTTTATGGAACATCACTGGAGAAGTGCCAAGTGGAAGTTTCAAGCAGGCATGTCTGTATCAGAAAATGAGAAAGGTTTTAATCACTGGCCTCAGCTCCCACCTTAAGAAACTAGAAAAAAAAAAATGGACAGGATCATGGCAGATTAATGTAGAAGGCAAAGGGGTTTATAAAAGAAAACTCTGTAGTACGTTACCTGTGGTGATGGGGTGTGTGTATTTACACATTTATATATGAGCTAATTGGAGGCGGCGAGGGAACCAATTCATTACTTTGAAAACTGGTAAATCAAGAGAAAAAATGATGCGTTTGTCCTTTTTTCCCCAGATGAACTCTACTGCTGGGTAATCAGAGAGTTAATTAGGGGAAGGTTTGTAGAAGTGAAGGGCTGATAGAGTTGCACTGTCACCATTTGGCAACTCTGAGGGAAGTAATTGACCGAGCATTGAGCAGCCACAGTTGCTACTGTCAAACAAAAAAGTATAGAAAACATACCACCTCTGAAATTACCCTGCCAAAAAAATTGGACATGAATCTGATTAAGCCTTTTTCTTGATTCAATTGCTGATTGATAGCAGTGAGAAACTCTATAGGACCAACAACCCAGCTCCTCCCATAAAGGAAAGACTAGAAAACACTGTATGGAGAGCAGGTAGGTGAAAAGCATCTTAGAAGACATTAACCAACTGCATAACAAGCATTTCAAATATGTGAACATTCAAAATCTGTGCTGCTTTTTGATTTATGCAAATATAATCAATTATGTAAAAGTTAACTTGTGTTATGTGGCAAAAGATTTCATAAACAATAGACTTGGAAAAATATTTCTTGTGCCTCTAATAGGTGGACAGTTAATAACTCTAAAAGTTATTAAAGTGCTTCTAAACTGTATTATAAAAAGACAAACAACCAAATAGAAAACCAGACAAAAGGTAGAAAAGAAAAAGCATATGGCTAATAAGCTTTTGAAAAGCTGCTCAACTTTGGTTACGGAAATAAATTTACAAAATAAAGCAACCATGAAATATATGTAATTCTGGCAAGAATTTGGGGGAAAGGGCTGCTCATATATTGCTGATGAGGGTGGAATTTCTACAGTCTTTTGGAAAAATAACTTGGGATAGCCATGAAAACGTTTTTACCGTTTGATTCTGCATTTCCATCATGGGGTTCTAGTCTATATCAATCAAATGCAGATATGGAAGGATATATGTTCAAGGATGTCTGTTGCAGAAAATGGGAGTAAAAATAAAAAACCAGCAACAATCGACATGCCCAATAATGGGGGTGATGGCTGAATAAAGTAGGACCCAGCCACAGCCATTAACAAGAATGAGCGAGGTCTCTGTGTGCTGGTCTAGAACTGTACCCATGAAGTAACGGAAACCAGGTAAAGCAAGTTACAGAGCAATGCATATTGTATAATCTCATTTTTGGTAAAAACAAAGAACAAAAGCAGAAGCATACAAATACGTATATATGTGTGTCAATATTTGTAAATGTTTTCATTGGTGTGGAGACAGGTATGTGCCAGGGTTCATTTTAGTATTTCTCAGGACCTTTTGGGTGAACTGTGGAGAGAAAGAAAAATCATTAACCTTTTCTTCTTTGTTCGTTGTACATCCCCATGTTATTCTGCTGGTTTATGGGGCACATGCCACTTTTGCATTGAACGAAGTACTGTCCTATGAGATTTCAAAGTGTGCAGTAAAGGTAGCTATTGGGAAAAACACTTGACCTAGTGAAACCCCAGCTCACCCAAGTTAGTTTCATTTCCCTTTTCTTTTTTAATAGAAAGAAACCAAAGGAATGATCTCATTGAAAGTAATTCCCAACCAGCAAAACCGTCTTCCTGTACTGCAGGTAGGTGGCTCTGTTTTCTCTATCGTGAGGATGGCCGGATTCTTTCGGCTTTGATTGCAATGCTGTGATTCTAAATATCCCAGCAAGTGTAGCTGCCTGGTACCCTCTGAACTAAATGAATATCTGAATATCCGTTACCAACAGGCAGGCCTTGTTTCTGACCACTGGCATGACTGTGCTTTGCCTGTCTGTAGTGGATGTAAAGGCACAGGGTAGTCTCCTAACTCACAGGAGGAAAAGTACAAGTGTCCAGGGAGCAAATATTCTCTAATCTCACCAGTCATCAAAGGACCAGAAAAGGAAATATCTGTGCGATACAAGTTTGCACAAAGAAAATTGGCAAATGTTTTTTTAAATAGTAATAAATAAACCCAGTAATTAATAGTGCCAAAGTAAAGAGAGTCTACCATGTACAGATCACTTTGCTAGAAAATGGGGGTGCCATAAGGAGAGATGGCTACACACCCAGTTCACACACAGTTAGCTCATCAGTGGCAAGGAGAGAAACAGCTTGAACAGATCCTTGCGGGTAAATGTGGAAGAAGGGATTTAAAAACAAATGACTCTGAAGTTTCTGTCACAAATTAATTATAGTATGATGCTATAATTTTCTTTCTGAGTAAACTTTTTAAATTGAAATTTTGCTATATATGGGCATATATACAACAAAGCACAACAAATCATAAGTATAAAACTAGTTGAATTTTTACAAACTGAACACCCATGTGACCAGCAGCCAGCTCAAAAGACAGAACGTGCCCAGCACCCTGAGAAAGCCCTGTGCTCATTTCTAGTCACCCCAAACCTGACTTCTAACACCAGGACTGAGAATTATCTGGCTTTTTTTCCCCCTCATTTTGGCCATTGTGATGGTGGTATTACATTGTGATTTTAATTTGCATTTCTCTGGTGATTAATGAAAGTAAGCTCATTTTTATTTTTTTATTTTTAAATGTACTTTATTTCATTTATTTTTGGGGAGTTGGGGAGGGAGGTAATTCGGTTTCTTTCTTTATTTATAACGGAGATGCTGGGGATTGAACCCAGGACCTCGTTTCTTGCTAAGCATGTGCTCTACTGCTTGAGCTGTACTCTCCCCACCCCACAGCAAGCTCATTTTTATATATTGGCCTTATTTCTTCAGATAATGCTTGGAGAAATTTACCATTGAAGCTGTCAGAACCTGTGTGTGTGTTTGGGGCAGGAGAGGTTGATTTTCAGTAACAGGTTCAAGTTCTTTCATAGATACATGAATGTTCGTATTTTCAATTTCTTGTTGTTTCATTTTTGGTAAATTGTGTTTTTCAAGGGATTAATGAAACATATTGGTGTGAAACTGTTTATCATATCTTTTTATAACCTTTTAAACATCTCTAGTGTATCTCCTGATCTGTAATGGGAAATTGTGTCTTTTCTAGTTTGAAAATCAGCCTTGCTAAGGCTCTTAATTTCATGAATCTTCAAAGAACCAGTGTCACCTTTGTTGATCCTTTCAACTCTGTTTTCTATTTCATTGCTTTCTGCTCTTTATTATTCCTTTATTTCTTTGGGTTGGATTTGTACCCATAATCTTCCTATCAGAGGTAACTGGTGTTAAATTGTGATATAACTTCTTCCAATTTTTTTCTATCTGTAAACACATTTTTTTTATTTCAAGCATACAGGGTATTGTTTTTATTTAATGATATTCTCATTTAATATTGTATCAGCAGCATTTTCCAAGGACATTAAATATTCTTATACAAATTGGTTTTTATAGTTGCATGGTAATATATTCAGTAGGTAACCATACCTAACTAATGCCCCATTCTTGGAAAATTAGATTGTTTCCAATATTTCACTTTTATGGATAATGCTATGGTCAAGACATTTATCCATGTATTGTAACTGACAACTTCTGCGTAGAAATAGATTGTGGAGTCAACAGATATCAACATTTCAAGACTTCAGGCACATTCATGTTGTTTGTTTATGGTATTTGTGAAAAGATTTCTCAGTAAACACATGCATTTCAGATGGTAGCTGCTTTGTGCTCCAAACCTGACAGCTCAGACCCAATAACCACAAATGTGCTGACCCAGAAAGGCACTTCAGGGCTGCCCCCTCTGCAGTCACTTGTCTCTCCGCCTTTAGCCAGTCGGTCCAGAGCCTGCTTATTTACAGCAGAACTTTCTACTTAGCGTTTCTCTTGAAGTTGCTGCTGCAGTCCCCCGCCTTCCTTTTTAAAATTTTATTTATTTATTTATTTTTAATTTAATTGTTACTTTGTGGGGGGGATAGATTTATTTATTTTTTAACAGAGGTCCTGGGGATTGAACCCAGGACGTCAGGCTGTCCTCCACCCCCCGCCTTCTCTTGCAGATGTTCATGAGAGCACAGTTTGACTATGATCCCAAAAAGGACAGTTTGATCCCTTGCAAGGAGGCGGGACTGAAGTTTGTTACTGGTGACATCATTCAGATCATCAACAAGGATGACAGTAACTGGTGGCAGGGACGGGTGGAGGGCTCCTCCAGGGGCTCAGCAGGGCTGATCCCGTCTCCCGAGCTGCAGGAATGGTGAGCTGCCCAGGTCTGGGTGGAACTGGCGTGTGGATGGGGCCCCATGCCTGCACAAACAGTTGCTTCGCTCCAGAAATCTGTAATCTTATATCTAGTTTCTGTCTACCTGGCATCATGGAGGGGGTGGGCAACAAGGAGTTCAGAAGCTTGACTGGCAGGCACAGGTGCCGGAATAGCTCTTCGCTCATCTGCAGACCTCTGTTTCCCTGAAGGCTTTCCCTTTGGTTGTAGAGCAAGTGATCACGCTGGGACTGGAGCCCTCCCTCCCTGGTCTCCTGCCTCCCAGACTAGTGTCCTGGGAAGATATCTTCTGAGTCCTGCAGAAGACAGTCAGATTTTAAATATGTGTTCTTTATGCAAATTCCTGGCATATATGAAAAGTAATCCATGTCCCCAACTCAGATTGCTCACTTAGGCCTAGGTTACACCAGGTGGCCCTCGGACAAGGTGGTCTCACAGCTAATGCTGGACTGCCCTCTACCAAATAACCCCAGGGTAAAGATTATAACCTCAAGGGGTTTTTCACATAGCAGTATTGTAGTTTTAAGCCAGGATTCTGGGCCTCATCTTCAGGGGTGATCCAGTGCACAGGGAGTTTATAAACAGGAAGTGTTGTATAGAAATCAGCAAAGTAGAAGTATTAGAATCTATTTCATGTAGTAACAGAAGGTATTGTATTATGAAAGTGTTGCATGTGTGTAATACAGGCTTGCAGTGTACAGTATATTTCTCATAGTGAGGTGGGCTCATCAGAATTCAAAAACCACCGGACCAGAGAAAGTGAGTTGTTTCAGGGTTGTGTTTGGAATCTGCTGAGAAGCACACAGCAGTCACAGCCCACAGGGGACCAAGTCCCTTCTGAGGGCCACTGCTCCAGACGCTGTTTTAGGCACTTTGAGGACATCCTTGCCTTGGACACATGAACCCTCATCACGTCCTCCCTCACCGCTCCAGCTGGGTCCTTCTCCCTCTGTCTAGGCCTTCCTTCTACACATAGAGACAGGCTGAGAGAAGAGGGGCCAGCGTCAAGAGAGACGGGGGCTCAGTACTGGCACAGGGAAGAGCATTGGCGTGAGTGAGGCAGGAGACAACAGAGAGTGGCTTACAAGAGGGACATGGAAAGAGACAGAGAAACAGGGAGACTCCGGGGGAGCAGCTGGTGGAGGGTCAGGGTGACCCTGGCGCTTTGACACTGAGTATCCCCCAACACCGTTGGTCATCTTGTCCTTCCAGGCGGGTGGCAAGTGTGGCTCGGTCCACCCCTAGCGAAGCTCCGAGCTGCAGTCCCTTCGGCAAGAAGAAGAAGTACAAAGACAAGTACCTGGCCAAGCACAGCTCAAGTAAGCTGCCCAGGGCAGGTGGCGCAGGGGGCACCCAGCACGCAGAAGGCAGGCCACCTCCTCAGGGTTCCCTGGATCACATTAAGTGCGGTTGGTGAGACCGAGCCCGCACGTGCAAAGCGGGTAGCCAACTGCACAGCCTTCCGGACCTTTCTCAGTACATCAGTGCCATCAGCACTAGCAGCTGCCAGGCCTGAGCCACCCCAGAGGGCAGTGCGTTTCACTGAGAATGAATTCTGGCCTCATTCTTGCCCTCCCATGGCAGGTGGGGTGGGGGGAGCATCCAAGAGCCGAAGAGAGCAGAGGGAAGAGGAGGGCATGGGGTCCAGAACATTCAAGTCCAAGAACTGTCCCTGGACTGGCCCACTGTTCCCAGCTTGAGAATCAGTGTCACTCGGCTCTCTTTGTCTCTAGTTTTTGACCAGTTGGATGTTGTTTCCTACGAGGAAGTTGTCCGGCTCCCCGCGTTCAAGAGGAAGACCCTGGTGCTGATCGGTACCTCTCACTGCCCCTCCGTGCTGCTTTGCCAGTTAGAGGATACCTCTGTTCTGAGTTTCCTTCCTTCCCTCAAAAAAAAAGGGGGGGGTCAGTTACAAGGAAAGAAAAAGAGAAATGAGGTGTCTTGGGTCCTCCATGTAGAGCAGACAGTGCCCCATCTGGGTTCACCTTACAGCTGAGAGCAAAGCCGATGAGTTTCTCAGCAACTGATTCTTTTAGGTCATCTGTCCATCCGGCCGGCAGCAGGGATGTTCCAGTCCTGTGCTTTTTTTTTTAAAGTGCATATGGTAGAGAGCTTTGTCAGCACACTGTAGGGCCCTCAGAAGTGTTCTGAGCATTTGGAAATGGAATGAGTTGCTGTGTTCTCTCTCCAAGCCTTTCTTCCCTCCCTCCCAGGAGCCAGCGGGGTGGGCCGCAGCCACATTAAGAACGCCCTGCTCAGCCAGAACCCAGAGAAGTTCGCATACCCTGCCCCGTGTGAGTAGCTGGTGGGGGAGGGGGTGCCACTCCCTGCCTGAGACACCCTAGTGGTCTTTCTGTTTGTGATTTTAATTAAAATGTTTGATTGTAAAAGCAAAACACAATTTGGAAAGAACCACATTTGTACCCACAATTACTCCAACTAACAAAATAGCTATGTTGTTTGTCTACATAACAAGCGGTAGTAAACATTTTTATTCTTTTAAAAATTAAGCAAATAATACACTGTTAAAACTTCTATTACTTTTTTCATTTTACTTTATACTATAAACATTTTTAATGTGCCTAAATCACTCTCAGTCCATTGAGTGGTGAAGGAAATTACATTTTCGTGAAATGTTTCCTAAATCAAAGCGGCAGCTGTTCTAGATCTGAGAAGAATCAGACCGGTGGTCAGGTGGGCGCTTCGATAACTTCCATTCCCAGAAGTGAATCCGTGTAGAAAACTGGAATCAAAACCTGCTATTAGTATTTTTTTATTCATTGCTTCTCCGTTTTGCCTTCAGGGACACAGTGAGAACTGAAGTAGAAAAAACTACAGATGTTGGCATGAGAAGTGAGTTAGAGAAAGAGGGTGAGAGGTGAGGATAACACAGGTCAAAGAGGAGTCGTTTTAAGTTGGAAAGAAAGAGCTGCGTGGGTAGTTGCGGACTGAGGAGACAAGTGGACGGTGCAGAAGACGGGAGGCGATGTGTTCAATGAGATGGGACGCAGGGGAGGCTTGTTTCAGCTACAGTATCTGTAGCACAGTTTACCCACAGGACCATTTATATGAGTAGCAGTAACTGGTGTGACTTTGGAACATTTCAGCATTCATTAATACGAGCTTCAACCAAATCAAAGTACTCTTCTTTCCAAAGTATGAAAAGGAGACTTTTCTTTTTTAATTTTTTAATAATTTATTTTTTAAGCTTTTCTTTGGGGGGAGTAGTAATTAAGTTTATTTATGTATTTATTTTTAATGGAGGTGCTACGGATTGAACCCAGGACCTCATGCAGGCTAAGTGTCTGCTCTACTGCTGAGCTAGATCCTTATATACCCTCCCCCCAAAAGCAGACTTTAAATATACTTCCAAGAAATCCTGACTAGACCCTGTAGATCTGTCATGTCTTCATTTCTGACCCCCAGCGTCCCTGGGTCGGCTCTCAAAGGTTCAGTTCAGTGTGTTTTCAGTGGCCAGGGGATCTCCAGGTCTCCATCGTTGCCTGCACTCACCCGAAGGGTCCGAGGCCTGAGGGGATGGTGGGGACCTCAGGTTGGTCAGGGGTTTGGGTTCTTGCGCAGATACAAGCCGGCTGCCCAAGAAGAGTGAAGAGGACGGGAAGGAGTACCACTTCATCTCCACGGAGGAGATGACCAGGAGCATCTCTGCCAATGAGTTCTTGGAGTTTGGCAGCTACCATGGTAACATGTTTGGCACCAAATTTGAAACAGTGCAGCAGATTCACAAGCAGGACAAGATCGCCATCCTCGACATCGAGCCACAGGTGTGTGGGCGGGAAAGGAGGAGCTCTGGCTGGCTTCATGCTCGGCCCCTGGTGACCTGGAGTCGAGCACAGTGCCAGAAATGGTGACTGCTAACTCCAGTTTTCCCCTCCTTTCTTCCTTCCTCGGCTGCCTCTTCTAGACCTTGAAGATTGTTCGGACGGCAGAACTTTCACCTTTCATCGTGTTTATCGCACCAACCGACCAGGGCCCCCAGGTGGGAATGAAGGGGTTGTGCGGGGCGGGCGGGCTTCACACTCCAGGCCACGCAGACTGGGAGCCCGCGTCCCGTTCTGGGCCAGAGTGGTCACCGAAGCCTGGCTGCAGCTTGTGACCCAGTCTCCTGACAGCTCCCTGGCCCCTGCTGGCCTTCCTGCAAGGCCCAGAAGCCATGTTCAGGTCACTCAGCAGACAGTTGTTAAGCCACTAGCTAGGCCGGTGCCTGGGCTTGGTAGCAGGGACAAAGCAGGTCAGACACAGCCATTGTTTCAGAAGCACAGGTGCGCGAAGCAGGGGGAGCGGGAAGAGGCGACGCTGAACCCAGCACGCGGTGTGGCACGCCCTCCCCACCCCCCAGGCACTTGCTGTTGCACTGAGCAGTGGAGATGAGTCCGGAGCCGCACATGGAGGCCTTCTCAGTCCTTCTTAGTGGCTGCATGGGCCCCGAGGCACATACAGAGCAGAATTGCTTGGTTTCGTCATTCCCTTCTTGACGGCTACTGAGGTGGTGGAAAGCTGTTATCCAGCCCCATTTTAGGCCAGTGTACTGGAGGGGAAATGGAACGTCACTGCACTGAAGTGGCTGAGTGCCTGTCAGACCGCTGAGGGCCGTTTGTATTACCTCTTCTGTGAACTGCCTAGTCAGGTCTTTGCCTTAGTTCTCTGTCAGTTTGCTCTTAATTTCTAGGAACTCTGTTAAGTAGCCATTTGTGGTATCAGTTACAAATTGTTTTCCACCAGTTTGGCCGGGTTAGTTGGAGACCCTCTGAGAACTGCACTAGTCTTAACTACTGCCTCTCCATGCCCTAGTGTTAACATCCTCCGATGAGGTCTTCTGGGTTTAAGGTTTCTGTGTCTGTGTTGTTCGTGTGGTATCGCTAATCCCAGCTGCTTCCATTGAGAGTAGAGTGTCAGGCACAGTACTGAAGCTTGAATTACACGGTTCACCCCAGGTCGGAATGAGTAGGACTTGAACTCCTGTTTGGGTGACTCCTGAGGCCGGGTGTCTTTCCTCAGCATCAGCAACCAAACTAGCAGATCTCTGTGGCTTTTCCATCTGGGGCACTGGCTGAAAGAGAGCGCCCTTGCCCCCGGGCCACCTCCCTCCAGGTCCCCGGCCCCATGGCCCTGTTCCCATCAGCTCCCCACAGGCTGCAGACCTTTATCCGCTCAGGCCCTGTGCTCAGGGTCCCTGTGCTCAGGGTCGACCCCAGTTACCACCAGCTTAGCCCAGTGCCCCCAGCTCTGCCAGGCCTGGGGCAGTGGCTGAGGCCCGACCACCATTTTGCCCTGGGGTGTTAGGGTTTAAGGTTTGAAGCTGGTGATTCAAAGCCAGGCAGTAGTCACGAGACTACTCCCCCTTCGTCTGTCCCGCTGTAGCTCCCATCCTCGGCTCTTCCTCCCCCTTGCAGACCGAAGCCCTGCAGCAGCTGCAGAAGGACTCGGAGGCCATCCGCAGCCAGTATGCTCACTACTTCGACCTCTCACTAGTCAATAACGGCGTCGAGGAAACCCTTAAGAACCTGCAAGAAGCCTTCGACCAGGCATGCAGCTCTCCACAGTGGGTGCCTGTCTCCTGGGTTTACTAAGCCTTCAGAGGGCGGAACTACCATCCAACCCTCCAGCTTTTGGACTTCCATTCCTCTTGCTTTAAGACCAACAGGCTCGCCCCAGCTAGTTCTGTCAGCTTCCAGCTCTCCGCAAATACCCTAATTAGGCCAGTGGGCGTCAGTCTTGTTCAAGTTTCTGAAGGGCTGGGCTCTGATTTGCCTGATGGGCCCCATCAATTAGGATTTCAAAAGGATCTCTAGAAATTGGGGGCCAAAAGTACCATCCAAATGCAGCTGCTAATCAAAGATGGTGCACGTGGGGAGGGAAGTAATGGGCCCCGCCCCTCTAAGGCCTGCTCTCCTTTACCTTTAATCACATTTGTCTTTACTTTGAAGAAAGCAATTTTAACCGCAACTTTCTCAAACGCCAAATGAAACAGCTGTGCAATAGAATGATGTCTACTCTGGGAAACCCTCAAAAGCAATAAAAGCATTGCTGTATTAAAATGCCGATGGCCTTGTATGTCTCTGGGTTTCCACCTGCGCCCCAAGACCCTGGGAAATGTTGCTGGCTTCAGCTCCAGAGGACGCCAGATGCCTCTCCTGGGTTCAGAAGTCTCCCTTAAGCTTTTAACAACCTTGTCTAGAGGTCAGACTCCCGTGTGGATGCAGGTGGTGTATGTTGGACTAGGCACATGTACACGGACATGCACACATGGGAGCAAAGGTGAAGGGGAGCACCCCACCACAGGCACACGATTCACTTCCCACTCAGACTTACTGGTGGCAGAGCAGGGGAAACTTAGTCAGGTTCCTGAGCGAGAGCAGCGGTGATGAGCCTCTCCTCGCTGTGTCCAGAGACTCCCCCAGAAACTGCTCCTATTCCATTTTTGGCACCAAAAACTAGAAGCAACCCTACACCTTTCTCTCACCCAGCCCCTTCTTTCCTGTCACTCAGCTGGCCAGCACAAGTTTGACCCAGATGTTTCTGCAGACGCTTGAAGGGCCGTGGACTCCAGGCAACTCTGCCCAGGCCCGCTCTGCCACACTCAGGGCCAGCCAGCCGTCCGCTACTCTGTAGGTCCCTGAGCTCGATCCCCTCTTTGCTATATCTAGTCAGCATGTTGAATGAGGATCCCAGAGCACTCAAGCCCCTGCCAGCATCAGGCCCAAAGGTGAATGCTGCAAGACACAGAATCAAAAGTAACCAAAGGAAAAACATCAAATCCAAATAGGACATAGAGGCCCCTACATTTTTAATCAAAACATTTTTGTTCTACTAGGTTTGAGATAATCAGAAAATCCAACAGGAATACTTTAAAAACTTCATAAGTAAACTTTAATAAGTAAAAATTCCAACCTTCTCCCAGCAAGGAGTGATTGCCTCTTGAAAGTAAATGAGGGTTAGAAAGAAGAGAAGGAGGAATGGTTTTTTGGCTTCTGTCACAAATGTAAGTAGCCTGATGGAGTTAGGTGCAGGGGTTGGTACACACAAGCCTTGAAGAAGCGCACAAAAGACTACAATAGCCAGAGACAGCAAAGAGCTTACAAGACGGACGCCATGAGTCCTCAGCCAGGCCGGCATCTGGAAGGGAAATGCGGATTGACAAAACGTGACTCACTCAGAGACTAGAACAGACCAGTGTCCTCACAGGACACTGGGAAAAAAGGTTTATCCCTTCGATGGCATCACAGTTCAGTTTATTTTTACTTGCTCTAGACCATCTCATTGAGCAGACTTTTAAAAAACTTTTTAAGCGAGGGAAGTGGGGAAGCCAACTAGGAGAGGAGTCCGGTGTCAGAATGGCCACCAGGAAACAGCTGCGGACAGTCACTGGCACTGCTCGGTCTGCAGGGTAGGCCGCTCAACTCTCCCAAGCAGAGAAGTGGGTGGTGGCAGATCGGCCTCCTGCACCCCTATCCTTAAAACAGGACAAGGTGGACAACCACACCAGGTAACATCACCAAGGTCTCAGCAGGAGCTGAAGCGTGCCGGAACTCTCCCCCTCCCTTTTCCAGGATCTAAGTTCCATTCCCTCAATTAATTTCTCCTCCCAGCTGGACACAGCGCTTAAAGTGGTCTCCACTACTCGGAAACCATTTCCACTTTTATTTTCTTCTTCTTTTTCTTCTTTTTGGTGGTGTCACTGTCCTGGGAGAAAGAGGAAGAAAGCATCCGTTAACTGCTGCCACTCTCCCAGAAGGAAATCAGGGAAGTCTACACCGTCAGGTAAGCCTCCTGAGGCTCTCCAAGGGTATCCTGGGTTACACGAATTTTGAACTTAACACAGTCCTGAGTTTTTCAGTGACACCCCAGTGCTCTATTTTCAGAAACAGGAGTATTCAGATTCTGAAGTCACATATCGTCCCCACCCACCAACCACAGAATTCTGTGAGCAGTTACTATAAAGAGCTGGGGAGCCTCTGAATAACCAAGGCGGCACCACCGGGGCCTGTCCTCCCCTCTGAGGACCAGGTGAGCCCCAGTATCCCCAGACGCGGCCATACACACCCCATCGCCTGGCTGGCCCGTGCTCTCCGGGGCCACTTTGGTCTTCTTGTCCTTCTTCTTCTTCTTCTCCTTCTTGACCAGCTGTGGAGCCACTGGAGAGGTATCGTCACTTTCACTCTCTCGCTTCCGCTAAGGTGGAGACAGTTGATCAAATGTTAGGTCTTAGGCAAGAAAGGATGAGAAAGGTTAGCTTCAGTAAGAGGTGGGGAGCCAGCAGCAAAGATCCCAATTGGATGCAACCAGACAAGGCCCTGTTTACCAAGGGTTCAAATACAGCCCTGTCACCAAAGGCCGGGCAAGCGCGGGCTCGGCAGGGGCAGCACAGCAGCGGCGCGTCCTCCACCAGCCCAGCCTCGCTGGCACAGAAGGCTGGACCACACGCCCCCATGGGTTCACCCACTAGTCCTGAAAGGCAGCGAGCCAGCCAGGAATTCACATCTGACTAGCCCAGGAGCAGCTCCTCTCAGGACACACAAGGTCTGAGGCAGAACGTTCTGCAGTCACCAAGACGAGCTGAACAGAACCACGTCTCTGAAAGGACAGCCCAGACCAACCACGGCGTGCCGCTCACCTTCGAGGCTTTCACCGCTTCATCAGCCACCTGCGGGGCCTTCGCTGCTTTGGCCACCACCTCTCTCTTCACAGAATCGCTGAAAGAGGAGACAGAGCAATAGCCGAGGTCCGCCAAATGGCTCCACTAGTGCTATCTGGCACGTCTAAAGCCACCATCAACGCGCTGACACTGGACAGAAGAACTCACCAGTCACTGTTGCAGACTGACTTCCTCTAGAGTCCCACGAGCCAGACTAGAAAGGGGTAACTGTCTGCGACGCAGGTGCACCCCCGCCGGCAGTCCAGGCGAACACCTGCTGCTGCTGCTCTACGCCCGCCAGGGCCTCTCGAGCCACCACATCTACCCCTCGGGCTCCTGAACCTGCCATCCTCAGCTGGGGTCAACATACCGCCTCTGCCCTCACCTGTAGTCTACATACTCCTGTGTCCAGGCGGCCGGTGTGCTGTCCGTGGGCTTGCCATGCTTGTCCAGAAGGCCCTGCTTGATCATCAGCCTCTTCTGACTGGCCTGTTGAATGTCAGGGTTTCCACATTACCAGTGTCAACACACAGGGCAGGTCCTGACTGCACACATGGCTCCTGACTCTGCGCAGAGCACTCAGAACTCACCCCCTCCAACAGGAGCGACCATGGGACTTATCAAAGGTCGCAGAGCTTATTAATATTAGTGAGGGCCACTGCAGGGTCATACTGTGGCACCCCACCCCACCCCACCCCACTCTAACCACAGGGCCTTTGCACATGCTATTCCAGCTGCCTGGGACTCTTCCCTCCCCTCTTCTCATCAACATCCACATTCTGTACTTCACACTTCAAGTGAAGATCCCTTACCACAACTCTGACCAGGCCAAAGCCCTCACTGTGCACTCTTAAGATGCTAGGCACCTCCCTGTATCCCATGATTAAGCCCTCAACTGTGCTGAAGTGCACCACTCCATTAGGTAATTTGAGTGATGCCCATCTGCCTCCTGCCATAGACTGAAATCCCTAAGGTCTGACACAGGCCCGTTTCTATCTACCATCAACTCCCCAGAGCCCAGCACAAGGCCAAGGATGTGGCAGTGAAGACACACCAAGAGTGAGCATTTGACAAGGCAAAACAAAGTAGCACAGCAGGGCACAGGCCCAGTCCCACTTACTTTTGGACCTAAGCCCCACTTCCGAGGGTAAGTGTCTCTCTCCATGATCACTCTCTTGATCTTGGCCACTATACCATGGTCGCAGGTGGAAATCACTGCCGTGGTCATTAATGCAATAGCTGCAAGCGTTGTAAAGAGAGAAAATGGTTTGAAGGGAAAATACTTGATAACTAATGAGACTGAATTCCACTGTCTTATGTAAGGGCTTAATTTCCAAAATATAGAAATAGCTCATACAGCTCAAAAACAAAACCCAGTCAAAAAATGGGCAGAAGACCCATTTTTTCTCCACAGACATACAGACAGCCAACAGGCACATGAATGATGCTCAACGTCACTAATTATTGAAAAAGTGCAAATCAAAACAAGGTCCTACTCTAAGTATATATGTATGTATATGTATAACTGAATCACTTTGCTGTACACAGAAACTAACATGACATTGTATATCAAGTATACGTCAATTAAAAAGCAATTTAAAACTCTAAGCTCTACTGTTTTGGAGATTTCCTTTGCTGAGGACTGTATATGGAGAAAATGCACCATTAGGGGAAGAAAGCCTGCAAAATCATTTTAATTTATCAAGTTTAAAAAAAAATACTGGTACGCATCACCCTAACAAAAAGCACTGGTTTCTGGGCCCTCAGACATGCAGTCCCCCTTCACTGATGGTTTACTCCTCACTGGAGAGCCAAACTGCTGAAACCCTCCTCCTTGCCTGTGCGCTCTGCTGTGACCACCCCCAGACCAGCGGTGGTGATTAGATCAACCCACCCAAGGGGCCAGGCCTTGGGGACCTCCTCTTAGTAAACCCTCTTACCCATGCAAATTGCTTCCCCTTTGGTGGTGATGACCACAATCTCTTGATTGACTTCAATGCCATCCTCGTATCGGAGAACACCCGGAAGCATGATCTTCGCCCCATAGCAGATTGCATTCACCTGCAGGGATGCAGCCTGTGAGCCTCCTCGCTGCCCAGGTCGCTGCCCTCCATCCCACACCCACACCAGGACAGAGGAGAACAAGGGGGAGGGGGCCTGCAAGCACCCCCCTCCCTGACCTGTGATACAGGACTCACAGCTTCCATGGCCACTGGCCACAATCCAGTTTATGTAGGGCCTCACAGAAACATGTTGCCTCAGAAATGTAAAAAAGGGCTTTAAATGGCTACTCCTATGTCCATGGGACTTAAAGGTGCTTTTATTTTAAACCAAAATCCAGCTGTAGTTTTCTTGAATTGCTCTTCTCTATTCCTCATCATTAAGGGAAAAATTCTGACATAGCTGGGAGATCTATTAGATTTATTAGTTGTAACAGGCTCCCAAAGTAACTCACAAACAAGACTGCCAAGGCCTGCAGAAGCAATCACACAAGTTTTGGCACTTAATTTCTAGAACAGGTACAAGTTAAGGCCAAGTCTCTTAAGTTCAGCAGCACTCAATGCATCCAGTCTGCCTTGTGCCATCCTCACTCACTCATCGTATTCCACCCTCCCTTGAAATCTGCAGACTGACCACAGCACAATGGTAGATCATTTATGTTGTTCTGTTTATGTAATTAAGTTTTTTCAATCTTTATAGGGGCATGTTTTAGTATACCTCTTTTTGTCTTTTATTACAAACTACAACATCTATACAGTTTAACTCACCAGACACCTATTAATTTGAAACCTGAATATGGATAATCAGCAAGCTCAAATTATTAAATATATACAGAAATTTGAATTTTTTAAAATTGTACTGCTAGGTAATACTGAACAATAAATGATTATGCACTTGGCCACAAAAACAACCTTACTTATAAAAGGCCACATTCCCTGATCATAACATAATATCATTGGAAATAAAAGAGCTATTTACACAATTCTGGACTACTTGGAAAGTACAAAACTCATCCTTGTATCGCTACTAAAGAGGAAACCCAAACCAAATAACTGCATATTTATTTTTATCATTAAGAGGATTAGTCTCTATAAAATTATTTAGTAAATTAAATACACTAAGAAAAAAGGCTCAGTAAGTTCAGTGATGTTTAGGTTTTACAGCCTCAAAGTAACATTTATTTAAACAAAATAAAGCTTTTATTGAGATTCCTAAAGGAAAAGAAAAGAACCCAATCTCTGAAACTTTCTAGTCTTTTTATCCCCATCAGAACGACAGCTATAGCAGCAATTTCGGTAAATCAAGGGTTCTGAGGCACATACGGAACTACCAGTTCGCAGGAGGGCAACTGTTTTGTACCACCGCCAGTCTATTTCTTGAACTAAGTCACTTACCTTGGGAGAATCTTAAAGTAAATGTTTAATTATCTTGCTTTGTTGAAATGGAATTAGACCTAGCATTAAACTTTTATTGTATTTCGTCTTGATTTAATAAAGTTAATTATAAATACTTCCATTAACAAAAAAATTTAAAATAGAAGAATCCAGTGTCCAATCTACGAGACTGAAAAAAAAAAAACCCAAAGGAAAATAATAATTACAAGTTCAAAAAGCCGTATTTCACCTCTTTAAAGAGAATGAAGTTTTCAGAACAGGCACCACATCTCATTTTTGAAGTCACATGTTGTCTAACCATGGACTCAAACCCTGGAACTTACGGCGCTGTCCTTCATAACTAGTCGTTTATGAGATGTCAGCAGTTTTTCCAATGGGTACACAACTCGTCGCAGGTAGCTCTCATCCTTGTGGTTGTCATACAGCCACTGGGCATCAAGCACGTCATGCATCGTCACCATGTGGTCCTGAAAAGCAGCCATGTATGAAAATTACTGAAGTGTCATTGTATGTCCAATAGCCAAATGGACCTCAAGCTTCCAAACGCTGATTCAATTTTGTCTTGTCTGCTAGTCCAAGCTCATCAATCTTCAGTGTCTAGATTCACCCCTATTCTGGATATCTTAAACTGCTGCCAGATTAAATCTAAGCAGGCATCTCTGTAGGCTAGGAGGTAAATGAACACAGTAATGCTTTGCACTCAATCAGCAACCGTAGCCTGTTTCAATGTCCCAAAGTTTAATTAACAGAACAGGGAAGCTGCCCTGAACTGAACTCAACACTTTGGAAATTGCCTTTTCTAGTATGTGAAGCAGGAAGAGTTCAACCAAGGGCTGGAAAATACAAGTACCAGCTCTCAAACTTCTAGACCCACAATGATGTACCTTTTCACTCATGACTCCAGAACGAACCCTCCGAAGTTCCTGCATCTGGCCGCCAACTCCCAGTAACAACCCAAGGTGCACACACAACGTCCGAATGTAAGTGCCGGCCTCACAACTCACCCAGAAGATTCCTAAGACACATACGCAAAAGTAGCACATATTTGCCTAAGTAAATATGTCACTGGTTGAGAAGCCCAGTTATTGTCCATTTGCACCAGTGAAACCAGAGACAAGACACAGGCCATGATTACAGCATATCCTAAGGCATCTCCTTTTAACAGAATACAGTTGTCAAGAATGCACTCCTGCCCACGTACGCTCTATGTCAATTCAGTTCCTCCCAGGCCCAGTGACCCACCTAATCTTCTTTCAGGGTCATACTCAATCATTTTGCTCTCGTAGATAGTCCGCACTCGCAGTTGCCTCTTGACTGCAGCAATAAGTGGGGGGCGCTGGAATAAGGCACCTGTCAGGGTTTCTAGGCCCTGAGAATAAGCACAAACCAAAGCGCTCTCACTACATGGGCTCTCACGTAAGATCAAGAGAGCATGTGCAGGGAGTTTAAGGACACAACTGAAACACAAAAGGTCTCTTCCAATCATTTAGGGTCTAAAAGGCCCTTTCAATGGTTGATTCTTCAACTACAGAGACCCTTTCCTCAGAAGGGAGGTGATCGGAAGTGCCCCTGCCACCTGCAGTCACCCTTACAGGTTGGCTAGAGCAGCCCATTGAAAAGGACACACAAGAGGCCGTCCAGGAAAGCCAACCTGTCTCCAAATACCTAGGGACTTCCCTCCAGACTTACCCTAGAAAGTTGCGTCCCCCCTTCAATAGCATTGTGCAGCCGGACAATTCCCACATACTCTTTGCCTGTAAAATGACAAAAGAGTAGTACAGGTGTGGCCACTGAGTTTTCTGTATTTTTTAGCTGCTCTTATCACTCCCATTTTGAGCAGCCA